AGTCCGGCGCCGTCGTTCTGTGTCTGTGCTCAGCCCGCAGGGCCCCGGGGCAGGCCTCCAAAGACGGCACAGGAAGTACTTCCGGGGCCAGGAGAATCTGGGCAGAGTGCTCTGTGCTGCGGGTGCAGGACAGGGTTGGGGGGTCGGGGCTGGAGTAAGATCAAGGCTCCCGTTTCTGGGACAGGCCTGACATGGGGGAACTTGAGGCTCAGAGAGGGAAAGCCGTTTGCTCGAGGTCACACAGCAGGGAGTCTGGTTCTTGAGGGAACGAGGCTTAGTTAGCGGGCTCAGCTCCAGATCTTGCGGCTTCCTGCTGTGGGAGTGGTGGCAGGTGACCCTCGGCGCCTCGGGTGTCATTTTTCAAGCGGGGTCAAGAGCCCGTCCTGCGAGGGTACGGTGAGGATTGAGCAGGAGGGATCTGTGCGGTGTTTGGAAGGATTCTGGACACACGGCGAGGACCGCATGTCACTGTGACGGGGGATTTGTGGATTTGGTGGTCCCGGCCGGGTGAGGACAGGGACGCAGCCTGAGCCGGAGCGTGTGGAGACAGGGTCCGCGTGTGGGGGCCGCGGTGGAGACGCCGGGGTGGTGGCGTCAGTGGAGGGAGGGGGCCGACGTGCTTCGCTCCCCACAGATCCTGGCAGCTCTGCCCGTGGACTGGAGGGGCACCCACCTGCTGGCCTGCTCCTGCCTGCGTGTGGTCTTCATCCCCCTCTTCATCCTGTGCGTCTACCCCAGCGGCACGCCCGCCCTGCGCCACCCGGCCTGGCCCTGCGTCTTCTCTCTGCTCATGGGCATCAGCAACGGCTACTTTGGCAGCGTGCCCATGATCCTGGCGGCGGGCAAAGTGAGCCCCAAGCAGCGGGAGCTGGCGGGTAAGGCCCGGCACCCCTCTGCCCGGCAGGGAAATCGAGGCCCGCAGAAATCCCTGCCACGCGGCAAGAAGGTGCATTTGGGCTCCGGGATCAGATCGATCTCAGGGAGTTTGTAGTGCGAGCGTGTTTGTCGGTCGTTTGTTCCTTCGTTCCACAACTACGTGGTGAGCCCCTACCGTGGGCCAGGCGCCGTTCTAGGTGCTGGGGACTCGGCGGCCACGAAACAGCGCTTCCTGCACTCGTGGGGCTGACAGTGCAGAGGTGACGGGTGACAGGGCATGTAATACGTTGAGTGGTAAGTACGACACAGAAAAGTAAAGCAGAAAAGTGGGAGTTGGGATGGGAGCTTGCGATGTAAGCAGAGCAGTCTGGGAAGGCTCCCTGAGGAGGTGACTTTTGACACCCGACCTGGAGAGAGTGGTGAGGGACATGTGACAGTGCTAGGGACTAGCCGGTGGGAAAGCCCAGAGGCAGAGCTGGCGGGGGGGGGGGGGGCGGGTGTTGGGCCCTGGACAGGCAGAGGGAGGCCCGAGCACAGACTGGACCTTAATGTGTCTTAAGACCCCTTCTGGTGCTGCTTGGACAGCGGGGAGGGAACAGACGGGGGCAGGAAAGGAGTGACGGGTCCGTCGACAGCGTAAGGGGCGGGGACCCTGACCACAAGGGGAGGTTGCCTTGTCTGTGGAGGAAAATGGTGGTTTCTGGATGTGTTTTGATGGTAGAGCCCACGGGGCCAGCTGATGGATTGGGAGAGCGGGTGTGAGAAGGGGACGGGGGTCCAGGAGGAGCCCCCACTTTGGGGCTGTTGCAAGAAGCTTGGGTTGCCGTCTGTTGAGACGGTGGGGGCTTGTGGGGGAAGGGGCCCTGGAGTCTGTTCTGCACACAGTGGTCCCAGAAACCCCATTAGATGCCCTGGACAGCCCGTGACCAGGAAGCACGTGGAGACGGGGGGCTGGAGGTGGAGAAGCAGGCAAGGCCCCGGGCACCCGACGTGCTCCCATCGGGGCGTCTCACAGCCCTGGGACGGCCGCCTCTTCGGGAGCGGGCGCCGGTCGCTGCCTCGGACCCAAGAAGCCGGGGCTGCTGCCCAGCAGCCCTTTGTCGAGACCACCGGGTTGGTCCGCGTGGGTTTGGCCACCGCGGTCCTCTGAGCGCCCCTTGCTGCCCCGCCCCCACCTGCTCCCTCAGGTCCAGTCTCGTCCGCAGGGAACACCATGACCGTGTCCTACATGACGGGGCTGACGCTGGGCTCCGCCGTGGCCTACTGCACCTACAGCCTCACCCGGGACGCCTACAGTACTTGCTTCCGCCCCTCCGCCAACACCTCCGCCCCCGCCGGCCTCTGAGCCGGGCCGGGCCCCCCCCCCACTCTGGCCTGGACTAGGGGCCCCGAGGCCCGAGGCCCCCTCCCCGCCCCTGCCTGCAGTGCCTGCGGGGCCCCGGCCTCCCCCCCGTGCCAGTAACGCCACCCTCCGGGTCCGGCCGGCCGTCACGGCGGCCCCAGGGTTCTGCCGAGCCCTCCGGCCCCCCAGAGCCACCCAGCACCGTGCTCTGCGTCGCGTCTCCGGCCTGTCCTTCACCCTCTGTCTGTATCCGGTGGCCCCAGCTGTCGCCAGACGAGTGCCCTCTCTGGGGTCGCAGCCGTTCCCGGCCAGGAAAGCAGACTGCCAGCCGGTATCCCCTCCTGGTGACCCTCACCCACGGACCCGGGCCCCAGCCCTCCTCCACCAGGGGCCCTCCTCATGAACACGAGAGGTCCTCAGCGGAGAGGGCCTGTCCCCCTCCGTCTGTTCGTAAACATTGCTTCTTTCGAACGAAACACATCTGCCGGGAGGGAATCGTAGCCCTGGGTCTGAATGGTTTCAGACCACGGTCTCCGCCGGTCTATGACCGCAGCTTCCGCACCGGTCTGGGCGCACCCACCCCACGCCCAAATCCCCCTCCGTGCACCCTGGCGCCCACCTGATGCCACAGGCCCGGCAGTCTGTGCCTGCCCTGAGACCCCGTCTGCTTCTCTGGCCACCCCGTCTGTGACGCCGGAAGGGGGCACGCTCTGGTTGAAGTCTCTCTCTCAGACACTGATCCTCACCCAGGGCGGCCCAAGGAGGGACGTGAGTCCCTGGCAAGTAGGGAGGTGTGGGGGTCCCTCCTCAGCCGGGACCCTCAAGCCCCAGGCTGGCCCGGTGCCCTGAGCAGAGGGATTTCTGGAGTGTCTTGACAAAGTCAGGCTTCTCAGGGGAGAGGAGTCTGCCCTGCCACCCCCACGGCACAGCTGTGACCACCCGCCCCTGTGTCCTGTCTCCCCCTCACCCCCCCCCCGTCTGTCCACTAACTGTACCGCACTGGCCATTAAAAGATGAAGGCAGAAACTCCCCAGCTGCTGCCTCAGAGTAGTGTCTGTGTGGGTGGGGGCTGCCCCCCGACCTTGCTCGTCCATCGTGGGGGAAGGGGTCCTGGCGGCTGGGACGTCCCTCTTCTCACCTGGAAAGTGGCCCTGTCCGCCTGGGCTGGGGGGCAGATCGTAGGGGGTGGATGGGGGTGGGTCAGTCTCGTAGCCAGGTCTCCATGCACCTGGTAGGGGTGAATGGCGGCACGGGACCCGGAAGCATTTGGGCTTTGACAACTTGGTGGTCAGGTCAGGGAAAAAGGCGGCATCCCACCCATTTGAATGGCGGGGGTGGGGGGGGGTGCAGCTTGCCCCCTGCCTGCAGGGACTCAGAGTTGGGACCTGGGGGCTGTGTGTTCTGGTCCGAAGTCCTAGCCGTGCAGCCGATCCGTGTGATGTGAACCACTTCCTGTACCGTTTGGTGCCTTAGTTTCCCCCAAGGAGTGGAGCTGGTCCGCTCTTTGATGCAGGTCCCTTGGAGGAGGGTTGGGGCAGGGGAGCTGGCTTTCCGAGGGGCTGTACTCCAGCCCTGCAGCCTCAGCGACCCACCCGCTGGGCCCAGTGGGCAGCCATCGCTCTGGGAACCAGGTGGGCGTCCTGGGCAGCTGTGGGGAGAGCCGAGACCCCCAGGCGATATCACAGGGACCGCCAGGTGGCGCCAGTTCACTGTTTCTCCTGTTGTGTGACTCCGTTTCTCTGAAGTGGGAGAACCATCAGAACCTTTCCTCTGGTGGGTGGTTGGGCAGGTACCCGTGGGGTCAGGCTGAAAGTTCACCTCAGGGCAGGAGTGGGTAGCAGCACCAGGAGCAGGGCCCAGCCTCCCCCCCAGCCCCTGCCGTGCCTGCATCTCCACACCTGCTCAGGGCCACTCAGACCCTCAGCGTCGTCCTCGTTCTGTGGTCTTCAGGTAGGGGTGCGGCCGGGAGTGCTCATCTTGGCATTTTCAAGGAAGAAACAGGCGGTGCAAGCCCTCTAGCCTCTCACCGGCCAAGAGAACTTTCCGCCCTGATTGACACGTCCTGTATCCCAGCCACCCCGCGGTAGCCACTGGCCACTTCTGGCTGTTGACCACTGGAAATGCAGCCGGGGCAACCAAGAAAGTTTTCATTTCCCTTCATTTCAATTAGCGTGGATGTAAACAGCCCCACGTGCCCAGTGGCCGTTGTACAGGGGGACACCCAGCTCGCAGCCCTGAAAGGTCAGCACCGCCACCCGGCACGCTGCGCCCACCCCCACGGCCCTTGAAATGAACCACTCCAGACAACGGTATTTCTCCGATTATAGCTTTTTCTTTTTTCCTTTTTTTATGAAAAAGATCACACAGAATTCGCCAACAAACAAAATTCCAAAAGAAACTTAAAAAAAAAAAAAAAAAAAAAAACCAATAATTCCCCCAAAAAACAAAACCGAAGTCTGGCTTTTCCTTCCCTTAAGATTGTCTGGACGAGGCCTCCCGTCCCCCTGGAAGGCGCGGGGGCTGGTAAGTGCTTTCCGGGGCCGGGCCGAGCCGCGGGAGCAGGGTCACTGCGCCCTGCCGGCCCCCTCCCTCCCTCCCTCCCTCCCTCGGCCTCTGCTCTCCCTAACCGCTTCTCCGTTCTGGGGGCGAGTACAGTACACCTGGGCCAGGCAGGGTGGGCAGGTGGGGTGTGCTTGGGACAAAGGGGGGGGGCGTGAAGCTGGGTGCTAGACACAATCTAATAGGAAATAAAAAATAATATTCTGCACGTCAGAATGTTTGCTTTTTTTTTTTATAATTTCATAGCTATTTTTTCACAGTTTTAAAAAGTTTATATTTATATATATTTATATATATTTATCTTTATATATATAATTAAAAAGTGGACTCCATTTAAAGGCGTATGATACAGGGGCGAGGAGAGTCTCTTGGTACAATAAAACTGTACAGGTGACCCACTACCGCCGCCCTCTGGGCTGGCCGAGGCCTGGGCAGGTGGGCTGGCCGAGGCCTGGGTAGGAGGGCCGGGTGTGGCCGGGACGAGGATGTCAGCACCATTGGGGTTGTCTGTAGTGTGAGGGGCTGGACCAGGAGGAGGGGCCCTCAGGGCAGCCCCCCCACCCCCCGCCTGGCACCTGGCTGTCTCGCCCCGTCCAGGCCGTCCTGAGTGGGCGGAGGCCGGTTCCTCCAGCCCTGGCCGGTGCCCAGAGCAGGCCTGGCCTGATTGGTGAGGCTGGCAGGCATCAGGCCCCCCCGTCTCACGGCGGGAGGCTCGGAGTGGGCTCCGTGCTGAGGGAGGGGTCTGGCACGAGGAGCCGGACCCACGAGCAGCGGGAACCCCAGAACGCATGTCAGTTCGGTTCCCTGGAAACCCCCTCCCCGCCGAATCCCCGCTGGGCCTCGGTCGAAGGTGCCTGGGGGTGGGGGGAGGGGGCTGGCCTGGCCAAGTGCTTACAAGGTGCTGGAGGGGAGCCCCTGAGGGGGGCCCGGCAGAGCCATACCCTGATAGCTGAGAGGAACCCCGTCTTGGGGGGGCACCGAGGGGGTCGTGAAGGGGGCCGGAGACGTGTGTACATGTGCGCACACACGTGCATGCATACGGGCACACACATGTACACACGCACGCCAGGGCATCCCAGGGCACACTTGCATGCACGCAGCCCCTGAGACGTGGCAGTGATGGCGAGGGGCCCCCCGATGGGCCGGCCTTCGGGGCCCGAGGCAGCGGGCAGGGCGTGGGCGCTCAGCAGAGCACAGGCACGCCGTCGGTGGAGAAGATCATGCCGGTGGTGGGCTCGTAGGTGCCCGCGAGGTAGTACAGGCCCTCGCTGTCCTGGTACTTCTTGGTCTTGAGCATCTGCTCGTACTGCTCCAGGCCCACCACCAGGCACTTGTGCGACACGGTCTGCACGTCGTTCTCGTCCACGTGCGAGGACTGGTACAGGGCACGCTGCGGGCATGGCAGGCGGGCTCAGGGCAGGTGGCCCGGAAAGACAGGGAAGACGCCCTCCCCCCATCCAGGACCCACAGGATCAGGGAAAGCACCGAGGGCCAAGACAGAGAAAGACGCCCCCCCAGGGAGGCGGAGAGACAGAGGCTGGGATTCCGAGACCAAGAGGGAGCCCTGAAGGATCAGGGCCCAGAAGCGACGGGGGAGACCAAGGGGGAGACCAAGTGCGGCAAACATAGGGTTCAGGGTCGGACGTGGGGTGGGGGGGTCGGAGGCCCAGCCCCCACCGGGCTGCGTGCAGAGGGTTTGAGGCGGCCCGCCCTCCAGCCCACACCCCCTACCTCCATGAAGTCCTTCCTCTGGCTGGAGGCCCGCAGCGCCGCGGGGAGGCCGCGGCCGGACTTCTGGTCCCAGTGCTGTGTGTGTGACAAACACGGGGCGGCGGTGAGCCCGGCCCCAGCCCCCAGAGCCGAGCACCCCGGCCTCAGCCTCAGGGCCGGTGGGGCCACTGCTCCCCCGCGTGACGCGCACAGCCCCGGCCTCACCTGGCCCTCATGGAGGCGCTTGCCCGGGCTGGTCTCCTCGGGGTGGTAGAACCACTTGACGCGGACCACCATGTTGCTGCCCCAGGACTCCCACATGCTCTGGATGCGACCGATGTAGGGCAGGTTGGGGCGGCCGGCCGACAGGAACACAGCGCAGTCCCCGATGCGGATCATTTCCTTGCCGCGCACGATGGCCTTGTAGAACAGCTTGCGGGCCTTGCCCTTCATGCCGCGACGCTGTGGGACACGCGTGTCAGGGAGGCCCGGGCCGGTCCCCAAACCCTGGGGCTCTGCAGAGGGTGGGGTGGGAGGGAGGAGGCCCCTTGCTTGCTCTAACTGGGGGGGACCCCTTCCCCTCTCCATGCTGGGTGTCCACGAGGGGCTTTACCGACACCAAGGACCTCAGCTAAGAGGGACTTCCAGGACCGTCTGGGTGGCTCAGTCGGTTAAGCTCAAGTCACGATCTCCCCCCCATTAATGGGTTCGAGCCCCGCGTCGAGCTCTGTGCTGAGAGCTCAGAACCTGGAGCCTGCTTCGGATTCTGTGACTCTCTCTCTGCCCGCCCCCTCCCTCAAAAAGAAAAGCATTAAAAAAGCAAAAAAACTTCGGGACCTGCACCTCCCCGTCCTGGAGTAGTGCAGGCACACGCCTGGCAGACCCGCACCTGCGGTCCACGGGGCTCGCGGTGGCCGTGCCCTGGGCCCAGCAGCCCTCTGTGGACGGGCGGTTTCCAGACCGTGCCGGTGGGGGACAGGACAGGGAAGCCCAGGGGCTCGCAGCTTGGCCTCTGGACAGAGGGCATGGCTCCACCCCCCACAGCCGGCACACGCCATTCAGGCCCCGGGGCCACAGGGCACTTGCTGCACAGCCTCATTCTACGTCCCCACAGGCAGCGTGGGGCTGGGAGTCGGCCGCCTAAGTGGCCTGAACCAGGGGCGACGGAGTAGGGGACGTGGGCTGAGGGCCGTCACGGGGACGGTGCCAGACCCCAGGGGAAGCCCCTGAAGTCTGTCCGAGGCCCGCAGGAGCCAGCACCAGACTCGCATCTGCCAGGCCCATCGCGTGCCGGGCTTTTCTTAGTCACTCGACAAACATTTCCTGAAGCCTGCTCAGTGCCCCGGCCTGGGCCAGCATGGGGACAGACACGCGGGTTCCGAGGAGGGAAGAGACCTGCCTGTCATCAGGACCCCAAACCCATCAGAGCCCCAGGCAGCTCTGGGGCCTGTCACTGTCCCTAGGGCCAAACCTCCAGGATCCAGGCCTCTGCAAAGCTCTGCCCTCTGGTGACCCGGCGTATCCTCTCTTCAAACCAAGATCTAAAATCACTTTGCCATTTTCACATCGGCTGCCAGATGACTCCAAGCCAATTTGCCCAAACAGGAGAAAACTACGTGCCAATTTCCAACTTTCTCCAACAAGCGCTTTTTCTGCTTTTAATTCATTGGCTCCCTGGTGGTGATGGATTTTCAGAGGTCCTTGTCGCTGATTTCTGCTATGTCCTGTGAACTGCTCAAATGCTTTTCACTTTTCAGCTCAAGGCTGAAAATAAATTTGAGGTGAGGAGGACGGCTAAGATTTCTACACCAACTCCTCTTTGGCCGCCGTGACGTGCCCGGCACCCGCCGGCTACTCCCTTCTCACAGAGCCGCCTCACTCCATGCGGTCCCCCCGGGGGGCTGATCCCGCCCTTGCAGTGAGCACAGGACTCGGTGTGGACACCCTGAACGTCCTGCCCTCCCGCTGGTGGTATAACCGGCTCAGAAGCGGACTTGGCACACGAGCCGAGTGTTCTTTCAGCTTTAGCTTGAACCCCTTGCAAAAAGATACTTCCTCTCTAGTGCCACTTCCGAGCCGGGAGCCACTGAGGCTGCTTGCTGCCAGGAGGGAAGGGCTGTCTGAGCAGGAGACCAGCGCAAAGGCAGGAAGGGGAAACGGAAGCCTGGACTGTGGACCCACAGGGAGGTCTGAAGACGGCCCTTCAAACCCCTGGGCTCCAGCTGTACCTGAAGCCTGGAATTTTCTGTTAAAGTGGCCACTAAGCTCCGCCCTGTGCTCCGTCCGCTGCAGCAGTAAGAACCTCGGCATTACTAGTAAATCTGCAAGTGGCAGATGCTAAAATACGGAATGAGTCGGTCACGGTGAAGGAGAGACGGCAAGGATGTGCCGCCTTCAGCTCAGAAGCTGTCACTCCTCAATACGTCCCAATAAAGCACCTGCTGGGATCAGAGCTCCAGGGGGCCTGGTCAGGAGAGTCAGGGAAGGTTCTACATGTTCAACTCTGCCGTCCCCGGCGGTGGCCCTGCTGAGAGAGGAGCTCTCATCTGGGGCCAGCAATCCAGGTGGGCTTATATGCTCCGCAGTGTCAGAGACGCAGGCTGTCTGCCCCAGGTTCAAGTTAGTGCCTCAAAAGCAGGGACGCCCTCAGGAGAGTGGGTGCCGACTGCTTCCAGATGCCCTGCTCTGCACCCCCATTTTGAGGAGCCCTCTGGGGGACTCTAACTGCCCCTGGTGTCACTGGCACAGGGGGCCCCAAAAAACACGAAGATGGAAACCCCCGAGCTGGGGTCTTCAGAGCTCCCCCCAATTTTTCCAGCCTCGTTGAACCCAGGGAGCTAACACAACACGAATACACCAGCAGCTTCCCGAGGTCCCGAGAGGTGCACGGTCAGACGCCCCCCCGCCAAGCTCATCACTGTCGACCCCCAATTCCCCACACCTGCCCTGGCGGGAAGCGGCTCTGGAGGGGGAACAGACCCGGGAGGCATCATGCCAAGCCCACCTTGGTGGGGGTGTGGCCTCAGTGGGCCTGGGCCAGGGAGACAGGCACCGCAGGCGAACCTGTGAGCCGTACCCGTGGACAAGGGGCACGGGGTGGACCGGTGACCAGGGGGCTATTCCCCACCTGCACGCGGGAGCCTCACGGTGCCTGTGTGCGCGCACAGGTACGTGTGTGGTGCGCGGCCGCGGGTGCACACGGGTGAGCTGGCAGGGCTCCTTCTGGAGAACCGTTCTGTCTACAGAGGTGGCCATGGGACCCAACCAGAACCTTCTCCCTTTGGCTAGCTTGTGGGTGAGGGGACACCCGAGCCAGCCAGGCAGGGAGACCGCCCCAGCCCTCCGCTGCCATCAGAGAGGAGCAAGTGCCTCTTGCCGGGGTCGCCACACGGTCAGCCTGAGGCCCGGAGCCCTTGTGCCGCTACACACGACGCCCCCACCGAGACAGGCTGTGGGGCCACGGGGTTCTGAGACCCCCTGCGGGGCGACCGGGCGCCTGCTGGAGGGGACGGCATCCGTCCCCGCGTGTTCTCTCGCTGGGCCCGAGACCGAGGGCGGCGCTACTCCGCGGAGGAGCCAGCAGAGGGGGCGCGCTCGGGCGCCCCGAGACTCGGGGGACCCGGGTATGAGATGGGGTCCCCGGCCTCACCCCAACCCGCCCCGTGGGGGGCCCGAAGGGGGGGCACACGGGGGGGGGCCGGCCCACCGGAGAACACCACGTCCGGACCCTCCGCCCTCCGCTACCTGGGTGGGCTTGCCGAACCACTTCCAGAGCTGCCGCGCGGGCAGGAAGGCCGCGATCTTGGGCCGGTTCTCCACGGACGGCAGGCGCTGCCGCTTGGCCAGCTCCTTGGTGGTGGGGAGGTGGACGCCCTCCCTCTTCTTGGGTCGGCTCTTGGCCGCGGCCTGAGCCTTGGGCTGCAGAGGCTGCGCGGGCTGCGGCGGGGGCGCCTGGGGCGGGGGCGCCGGGGCCTTCTTGCCCGGAGAGGGGGCAGAGGAGCGAGCCTTGCCCGCCTGCTTGGGCGCCTTGCCTGGCAGGGCCGGCGGCGCCGAGGGGCCGGCCGCGGCGGGAGGCGCCGCCTCGTCGTCTGAGCTGCAGGAAGAATCGTCCGTGGTGGAGGAGGAGGACGAGGAGGACGAGGAGGACGAGGAAGACGAGGAGGAGGATGAGGACGAGGAGGAGGAGGAGGACGAGGAGGAGGATGAGGACGAGGAGGAGGACGACGAGGACGAGGAGGAGGACGAGGAGGAAGAGGACGAGGACGAGGAGGAGGACGACGAGGACGAGGAGGAGGATGCCCTGGAGCTGGAGGCGCTACAGTTCCGGCCGCCGCCGCCGCCCTGGCCCTCCTCCTCCCCCTCGGTCTCTGAGCTGCTGCTGCTGCTGCCACTGTCGCTGCTGCTACCGCCGCTCTCCGACTCCTCGGCCCCGTCCTGCTCCGCCTGGCCCTTGTCCGGGCTCTTGGGCTCACCCGAGTCCTCGAACTCGAGCCCGGCCCCGGGCTCCTGGGTCAGGTCGCCGTCCCCGGACTTGGGCCGGGCGGCCTTGGGCTCGCCACTGCCTGTGGCCGGCGGGTAGCCGCCCAGGCCCAGGAGGCCCTTGGGCTCCTGCCAGCCCCCGGCTCCGGGGTCATCCCGCAGAAGCAGGGCCTCTTTGGCCTTCTTGCTTTTGGGCGACGTCACACCCTCGTGGTCCAGCTTGACGAGCGGCTCGGCCTCCTCCCCGGGCCTCCGGGCGCCCTTGGCGGCCGCCTCTTCCGCGGCCCGGGCCTTCTTGGGCTTGGGGCGGGTGGCGGGCATGGCGATGGGCATGGCGACGAGGGGGGTGGGGGCCAGGACCGCAGCGGGGGCCGGCAGCTCCCCAAAGGGCTCAGGAGCCGGGCAGCTGGTGAAGGTGGACGGGGCGGGGCTGGCCTGCGGGGCTGCCGGGCGAGACTTGGGGGCTTTGGCTCGCTTGTCCGCGGGTTCTGGGGGGCTCTTCTTGGAGCCTGGGGTGCTGATGGGCTCCAGGGCCAACGGGGTACTGGGGACCTCCTCTGTCGGGGCCCCCTCTTCCAGGACGGCGGCTCTGTCTAGAAGAAAGAAGGAACAAGCTTACGTGAGGTCAGGGCAGCGAGGGGCTTCCCGAGCCCAAAAGCCCAGTTTCTGCGCTGGCCCTGCTGCTTCCTCTGCGGTGACCGGGTGCTGGGCCTGGACGCTGCCCGCTCTGGGCCCAGGATGAGCGACTCTCACATCGCTGTCATCCCACGTGTGGTGACCCCCAAGCAGTCCTTGGCAGCCTCGGCTCTTAACACCTGTCCCTGGATTCTGGCGTAAACAACTCGGCTGCCCAGGAGTCAGCTCTGCCTGAGGCAGATGAACGCTGACTCCCTGAGCCTCAGTGTCCCACTCTATCAAAGGGTCCGAGCGGCCCTGCAGCTGAGTTCCCACGGAGGGGGGGGGGGGGCGCGGTCTCTGCGCGCAGACCCCACGGCATCCCGCGTCCGCAGCAAGTCCCCCCCATGCCTGCACCTGCCCCTGTGTCTCGGCCGAGGCAGAGCTGGGGCTAACGTACCACTCTTGGCTTTGGTGCTCGGTTTCCGCCCACGCCCTCGTGCCTTGGTGCCCGGCTCCTCGGACCCTGGCGTGCCCCCGTCTTTGCTGTCCCCGGTGTCTTTGCTGGTCTTTCGGCTGCGGCGCTTGGCACTTGGCACCAGGAGGGCTGGGGACGGCTCCGCACCTGCGGGAGAGGGACACGGTGGCTCAAGCCTGGGTCTCTGCTCTCCCAGCCACCAGAGCATCATCCATCGTGGGGGACAGGGACCGGAAGGCCCTGCGGCTGAATCCGCTCGGCCTGCCTGGAGGGGCTGTGCAGCTGGAGAGGGGGACTCCCTCTGCAGGGACACAGCTCAGGGGTCTGCAGGCACAAAAAGCTCCACAGGGGTCCCCGAATGAATGGACTGGGTGGGAGTGAGCAAAGATCCACTCTCGTGGGTTCTATAACCCACTTGGAGGATGCTCAAAACCACAGACCCCCAGAGGTCCAAGTCCTGGCTCTGCCTCTAACTAGATGTAGGACCCCAGGAAGAGTCATTTCCCTCCTCGACGCTGAGCTTCGTATTGGTCAGTCACGGGGAATGGGATCTCTGGAAGCGCAGGACGAAGCCAGGAACTCCATGCTCTCGTGGAAATGTGAAGCCTGGAACCATCGGGAACGGTGCCCGACCAGCCTCGACGGCCTGGACTGCTCGGGGACGCAGACCTGGGGAGCCCGGGAGCCCCTCCCCCAAGCCCACTGTGGGAGCCCCACCCGTGGCTCCTGCCATTTCCACCCCACGGGTGCAAATGGTCGGAACGGTGGCCAGAGCCCAGGACTGGGCCCGCAGGGGAGCCGGTGTGGACGTGGGGGTCACCCCTGCCAGGGCAACAGGACCGCCACTCACACTGGATCTTATAGTCGGGAGGCAGAAGGCGGATGTGGGAGAGGGGGATCCTCCCCGTGTCCCCGTCATCGAACTCCACTGTGATCAGGTCCCCGTCGTCCTCGAGGCCTAGCAAGCCTGTTGGCAGAGGGGCAGGGTCAAGGACGCCAGCGGACCCCCGCTCTCCGGTGCCCACAAGGGCGAAAAGGGAGCAGAAAACAGCCGGTGAGCAGCTCTGGGCCTGCGATGTGTAGCGGCACGTATCCAGTGGTACAGAATGTGAGTCTTAGAGTCTTGTGGTCCAGCAGGAGCACTGGCACCTGCCATTCCACCGAGCGTGTGTCCTGACTCGCTCCCAAGACCCTCCCGAGAGCACAGGGAAGCAAGAGCAGGGGCGGGAAGCCTGCAGGCCGGACCTGGTGGGTCAGTGGCCAACTGCGGGAGCGGGGCGTTTCCCAGACCACCACCTGCACGGTGAAGGGCTTCCCCTGCTGCTGGGGGCCTGGGAGGGGGCCTGCTTCACAAGGGAGCCCTGCCAGGCTCGGGCCCAAGAGGCGCCAAGCGCCTCTGTAGGCAGGGGTCAGGGGACCCCAACACCGGACAGGCTGAGGGTTTACGCCTGGGGCACAGGAGAGTTAGGTGGGTCCCCAAACCCCAAGAACTGTCTGCCGGCCGGTGGCAGGAAGCCATGGGTAATGGGGACCAGAGGTCGCCACAAAACGTGCCTGTCGATGCACAGGCCTTCCCATCTGCTTAGTACAGACCACCTGACCCGAGAGGCCAGCCTCTCAACGAGACAGACACGGACCAGAGAGGTCAGGGGGCTGAAGAGCACAGAACCCCCGAAGAGATGGCAAGGGCAAGTCAGGAGAAAAGGGAGCTGCAGAAACTCAAACGTGGAAACAGTCCTTTCTCCGCGAAGTTTACGAAAAGAGAACACAGATACCAGCAAATGTGGTAAGAAACAAAATCAGATAAAAACAAGAAGACGGAACACAAAAAGTTGGGGGAAAAAAAACACGCAGAGAATAAGAAAAAACTCTAGGAATTTCTTACACGACAGCAGGAATTTCAAAACTTCAGTAGATGGAAAGGCCAGAAGGTCGGGGTTAGTTGAGGAAACCTCCCGAGAGGTTGAACAAAAAGGTGAAGAAACAGACGATAGGAATAAAGATAACAGGCACTGCAGGCCAGCACACGGTCCCAGGGAGGGCTGCAGGGGACAGGGAGTGGCTCCTGGAGAGCCACACACGGAGTTTCCAGAACAAAGGAAATTTGCTTCACAAAGCCCTCAGGCCCCAAACACCCAGCAACACACACACAGAGACACTCAGAGACACACACACACACACACGCACATAGACACACACAGCCGTGCATAGAGACTTGCACAAAAACATATACACAAAGACAGACACACACAAACCCACATGAAATTCCAGATCTAGGAATAACGAGAACACCCTCAAAGTTTCCAGAGAGAAAGCAGGGCTCCTACAAAGATGTAGTTTTAACGATGACATCAAATTTAGACGTCAACAGCCAGATAATAACGGAAGGCACAGTGACTTTGAAAATTATTTCCAACCTTGACTTTATCCCCAACTCAACTATCTTTTAAGAACATGCCAAAATAAAGCGATCTCAAGCGTGCGTGTACTAGAGGGATTTACCTCCTAGGATCCTCTGTCAGAAAGCTACAGAAAGATTCTCCATGGGAACAGAACAAGGAAGAGAAAGACGCGAATGAAACACAGGAGCTGGAGAAATGGAATTCTGAGCGATCCCCAGGGGACGGACCAAGAGTGACCCTGCCATGGTCTCTCTGGGGCAGGGGGGTGGGGGAGACTTCCTGCCCGGCATCCGTGTTCCACCTCCTGGGTGGGTGTGGATGTCGGGCCGCAGCGGGTACACTGTCTCTGCCGTCTGGCTGTTGGTCTGAAGAACGAACATCCAGAGCTCAGCTCCTGGAAACGTCAGTTTTGCACCGTGTGAGGATCTGTGGTTTCTGTCCAACACCTGCAGCTTCTGGGGCACCTGTTATTTACGTCAGCCTTGCTTCCCATCTCTTACTCGGCTAACAACACCCCGGTCTTCCCGGGGTGGCCACCGTCTCCTCTCCCGGGTCACAAGTGGAATCAGAAAGCCAACCTCACTTGCTGGTGTCGGCAACGAGCACGTGACCCAGGCTCAAGGACGAGACTCACAGCCGCCGCCGAAATCCACGTGACCCAAGCCAGTTCCGGGGGCCCCGTCCCACGTGTCCCCATACGGGAAATGAGAGCAATTCCCCCGACGGCAGGATCTGTCAATCTGGGGCAGCACCGTCCCCGAGGAGCTGGGTGTGAAGCCGGCGCAGCCGAGAGCGGACCGAGGGCCTGAGCGCCGGGCCGGCCCTGCCGGAAGCCACGCGAGGAAGTGGGGGAATGAGGGGGAGGATGGGGGGGGGGGGGGGGTTGCCGAGGATGCCTCACCTCGGACCACGGTGCCTGGGTAGAGGCAGCGGTACTGCTGGCTCCAGTAGGCTGCGATCCTGGTCCCTTGTGGCAAGAAGCGCGTGGAGGCCGGCCTCACGTCGTTGATCTGCGAGGGTGAAGGATTGAGTGCCAGGGGTGACCGGGAACAGCCCGGCCCCCGACCGCCCGGCGGCCCCCCCCCCCCGGCCCCCCTCACCGCCTCCTGCAGCAGCTGCTCCAGACAGTAGATGTGGGGCCGGTTCCCACGCTCGCCCTCCACCACCACACGGTATCTGCAAGGCCACGGCAGGCGCGGTGTGAGGTGACGGAGACGGCGGCCCCTCCCGGAGGAACCCTGCACCTCGACCACCGGCCCCAGCGGCGCCAGCTCTGCCTCCCAGACCGCTCGATGGCATGTCAGAGCCTGGGGAGCTGCTGGCGTGCGGTCTGAACCTGGGGCGAGGCTCTCCCCTTCTGGGCCTCGGTTTCCTCATCTGTACAGCTAGGGGGGTTCAGATCCGAGAGAGGCCAGCACAGACCGGCTGGCCACGCCCACTGGGGGGGGGCCTCCCTCAGCAGGCACCGCCCTCCCGGGCACCGTGCATCTGGTTCTAGGGAGAAGCAGTCGCAGCTCAGAGGAGCAAAGCAACCCGCCCATAGAGGCCCAGCAAGGCCCCCTGGACCCTGGACTGGGGGAGGGTCTGCAGGCTCTGAGGCCGGTGCCACCCCCGCCCAGGCCCCCACTCACATGTCTGGGGAGTGCACCGTCTGCACGTGCCCGGCATACAGCAGCTTATCATCCATGGGGATAAGCACACGCAAGCCGTCTTTCAGCTCGTCCTTGTCGATGACGCAGGAGCGCGGGGCTGCAGGGGGACACGCAGGGAGGCAGGGCTGGAGCCAGGGGGCAGCCGAGAGACCCTCCTTCCGTGCGCAGCCCCTCCCCTCCTGGCCCAGGCCCTTGCAGAGATCCCAGGCAGGTGTGAACCAAGTGTGATCTCCTACACGAGCCACCCCTCCTCCACCCAAAGACCACCACCCTTGGCGCCTGGGCATGAGGCCCCAGGTCGCCAGCCCGTCCACCGCTGCCTCTCCCACCAGACCTCCAGGACTTTCCACTGTTGTTTTCTCTTCCTGGAATGCTCTGTGTCGTGGTGGAAACCAATCCCCGCCTTGGCCAAACTTCCAGGCCACGCTCTCCGCGTTCCTCACCTGTCCTCAGCTGAAAGCTGCCTCTCCCCCCCGGCTTAGAGGCCACCCCCTCCGGAACCCCCACACCAGATATTCCCCATTTTCCTTTTCCACACTGACCACACTGCTCTGGATTCCAGGGCTCCCTCCTCCTGCCCTGTGAGACCTTGAATCCGGCCCCACCCTGTCATGACCCACACGGCTCGCTGGCTGGCCCGCCTGTTTCTTCATTCCTGCCTGCACGCACACCCACCCCTGCCACAGCCTCACCATGGGCAGAGTGGACACCCACCCCTTGTCGCCGAGTGTGGCCGTGAGACTTCCTCCGGCCAATGGCACAAGGGTGGGAGTGATCAAATACTGATTCTGAATCTAGGCCTCCGGAGGTCTGGTCAGCTCCCACTTTCCGTCGTGAGCCTCTGGCAGTACGGCCCCAGGAAAAGCACGCCCCGGCTCACCCACAGGCCCAGGGGGTGAACGGCCCCGGAGTGGAGCTGACCCTGCGTCTGTGGACCTCCAGCTGTCCTGCTGCTGTGGCAACAAGCCCAGGCGAGGTCAGCCCGGCTGCCTTACAGACCACTGAGACCCATAATGGATACCTACTACCAGCTACCACTGGGTAACTCTTTGTTACACGGCAACAGCTGACTGATACGCTCCCAATCAGGTGATTAAGTTCCCCAGCTCTGCACATCCTCTTGTTCCACACCCGCCCCACCCAATTCACATCCTCAGTCTCTCCTCAGAGCTCCACACCCCTGGGTCCAGGTGCCAGGTGTATGTCATTTACCCGGATGTTCTCCAGGCACCCCAGACTCCAGCCAGCAAAGTGTGGCATGTGATCTCTCCCTGCTCCCCTTACACGCCCACCCCACCACCACCCATACTCACTCGTTCTGGTCTGCTCACACAGCCCCCCTCTCCCTCGCGACGTGCTCAAACCCACCCCATATCCCTCCGTGCTGCCCCTGCCACCATCGCTCACCGGATCCCCACAAGGGCCTCCCTACCTGGACTCCTGTCCCCCTCAGGGCCACCCCCAAGTCATTCTATACAAAGCAGTCAGAAAGCACTTTCCAAAACCAGTCCGACTGTCCTCATCTACTTCCAGCCGCGGACGGCTTCTTATTTTCATTAGGGCAAACTGTGACCACAGCCCAGAGATGGGGCCGTCTGCCTCTCCCTCCTCCGCCACCCAGCTTACTAAACCAGAGCCAAGCCGGCCTCTCTCGGTTTACCACAGATACCATGCCCCCACCCAACCTCAGGGCCCCTGCACATGCCCACTCCCTGGGGTAGCTCAGCCCCTGCCCACTGCTTCCCCAGGGGGACCTCCAGCCACCCCCCCCACACACACACGCTCTGGGCCTGAGCCGACAGGGCATCGAGGGCACTTACCTGGAGTCAGTGGCCGCTCCGCAGCCCCACCACGTGGCAGGTGCTCATCCTCAGAGAAGCTCGAGTCCTGATTGGGCTCAAAGTCCTCCTCTGCAGCCATGCTCTCCATCAGCTTGCTCACGGCTCCCCCCTTCCCCCGGTTCTGGGGACAGAGCACAGCAGACCCACGGCTCGGGGCACGCCGTGCAAGTCCCGCTGCTTAGGACCCTCCCTGGAAACCCCGGAGTCTCGGTCAGGCTGCAGGGGCATCTGCCACGTGAGTGGTACAGGGCCGAGGGGGTGGTGTCCGTGAGATCGGCAAGCAACCCGAGTGGCCAGGGCCTGCGTGGGCTGAGGCAACACTTCCGGACACACAGTTGGGGGGCGGGGGAGCCTGGGGTCTCAGTCACTTGCATGTCCAACTTCGCCTCAGGTCATGATCATGGCTTGTGGTTTCTAATCCCGCATGGGGCTCTGTGCTCACAGCTCAGAGCCTGGAGCCTGCTTCGGATTGTCTCCCCTCTCTCTGCCCCTCCCCCTCTCATGCTCTGTTTCTCTCTCTCAAAAATAAACATTAAAAAAAAAGCCTGCTGGGGACAAGGTGGTGTGGGGGGTGGGCACGCCCAGCATGCCCCATCTGGGAGGGACCTATGAGGACCTGGCTCCTGGGGCACCGCGAGCCTCACCTCCTTTTTCACCTCCTTCCCTTTGGCCTTGGCCTTGCTCCTCTTGGCAGTGGCCGGGGAGCTGGTGTGGGGGGCCCGGGCCTCTGGGGGCAGGGCGGGAACACGGGGCGGGGGCAGCGCCGCCCCTCCTGAGCTGGCCTCCTTCCCCTTCTTCTTCTGGGGGAGGAAGCAACAGAGGTGCAGTCACAGGCCGTCCTCGCCATCCCGGAAAGGAACGAAACCCCTTCCCTCCCCTCCCCCAAGTACGTTTGTTTTTCATCTTTTCATCATCTTAACTGCTTCATTATTACTATATGTTGCTTATTGTAAAAAAAAAAAAAAAAAATCACCAAAGTGCATATAGGTGCAACTTCCTCTCCAATGAATCCTGTCAAGTGCACAGCGCTAACTAGAGTCACTAGAGGCTGTGTGGTGTACCCTTCCAGAGCTTTCCAAAAGCACATACAACGGAGTAAATACACAGGCTATGAAGATACATTTGTGCACAAGCGGTATTTTTTTTTTTAACACAAATGGGAATTTGCCAAATGTCCTGCTTTGCAACTTTCCCTCCCAAATATGTCTGATATAGAGGCTGCTTAGCTTTGTTTTTAACAGCTGCTCAATGTGCAGCTGTGGGAGGGGGCGCCATTCATTCAACCGCCCTCCCACAACCCGGTGATGGATGCATCGGCTGCCTCCATTTTAACACGCTTCCAAATGAAGCCACAAAAAACCAGGATGGTGCCGGGTGGTCCCACAGGCACGTTCCTGAAAGAAGGACGAAGACCCTTTCGGCTGCGGCGGGTCACTTGGGGCGTGCCTGAGTAACTCTGAGCTCAGCCACGCCCACCCCAGCTCCAAGCCCCGCCCCCAGGTGGTAAGGGGCAAGGGGCCGCTCGCTGCGTATTGGTCCGCATTCAGCCACGCCCACCCCAGCCTCGCTGCTCCCTGCCCCCACCACAGGGCCGGGTGGAGGCTCCGCGGATTCTCTGCACTCAGCCCCGCCCCCCACGGTGGGGTGAAGGGACCGCTACTCGTCCCCGCAGCCTCGAAACCAGCCCAACCCCACGGGCATGGCTTCGTTTATCAGAGCAAAGCACTGGAAACAACCTGTCTGTCCTGCGGCCTGTCAGGGAAACACTGGGGCATCTACAGATACAGTTACAAGCTTTGCTACAGCGTCTGAGAGTCCTGCTCCAGGAAGAGGCAGGGGGCGCCGTGGCCAGGACAACAAAGTGGGGATACTTGGCGCCAGAAGGAAGCTCAGACTATAATCTCCGTGACCCAGGAGAGGTGGGCGGCAGGGGGCAAGGGGTAACTTTATGCTTTTTAAAAGACACATTCCTGAAACAAAACAACCAAGTCAAAGGACCAGAGGATGTGGGAAATTAATAAATAAATAAAAAAAAAAACAAACCACTGGACAAATGTTACCAAGACCACAGCGGAAGTCACAACTTCCTATCAGACAAGTGACATTCACAGCCAACAGCATTATAAGGGTCAAAACAGACAATGTTACAGGGATAGAAGGTATTCAGTCTGGATCCCCATTTGGGAGAGGGAAATACATATATATTTTCTTGTTTCTGATGCATCATGCCTTAATCCAGTTCACATTTCTGAAATCGGAAGGCATCCAGGGGGTCGAAGGAACCACCTTTCTCCACAAACACCTGCTGAAAACGGACAGCTCACTGAATGGCCTCTACCTTCGCAGCTGTGCACATGGGGCCAGCAGAGGACAGCAAGCAAAGTTCTGAGTGGACTTGTATTTGCTTCCTTTTCTGTATCTTCCAAGGCAGTGTTATCATCAGGTATCACTGAGACCTCTTTCTTTCCCACTGATGAGAGAGCCCTTTTCTGGGAAACTTATTATTATTATTCGAGTAAGAAAAGAACTCCAACAAGCCCTGTACCCAGAACAGACATGGTCACTGCCATGGTCATTATGGCAGAAAAATACCATCCTCAACCCAATCACCGCATGGTTGATGGCAGCGGAGAATGAAAACCAAGGGGTGGGTGCAGTTGGAGGGATGTTATTCAGCCATTTAGAAATATTGATTTAAAAAAAAAGTAAAATAAGGCTGATGGCAAGTGGGAATATCCAAGTCTAAAAAAGCAGGATACAAAAGCGGGTCTCAAAACACTATGAACAGTGGTTGCTCCTGTGGTGACTTCACTGGCATCTGATTTCTTTTGTTGACAATTAGTCTCTCCTGTTCTAGTCTCTTACTGTGTCATCAGAAGGCTGGGATTGGGTGAGCCCCCGATCTTCTCCCCAGCAGAAGGTACCATATCTTGGCAAAGGGCCCAGGGGGCAGCCTGGCCCGGGGCGGGTGTTCAGAGCTTAGCTGGGACGCTCAGTAGCTGCCGTGACCTTGGGCAAGTTACAAGGCCACCTGTGCAGTTAACATGAGTAACCTACCTCGCAGGGTTTTGTGAGCACTCTGTTGGGACACAGTAAGAAATATCTACTTGGTCTCTGCCCCTGGTTCCTGACAAAGAGCTCCTGAACCCCTTGGAATTTCCTGGATCACAGGAGAGTCTTTTGTCCTAATGAGGCGACTGTGGGTAAGTCCCTAGCTGGCCTCGGAACGGGGGCGGCTCACGAGAAACACCAAGCCAGGAGAAGCCAGGAACTCTGAGTTCCAATGTCCCCCATCCTCCGGGGCAGGGAGAGGGTCCAGAGATGGAGTTAATAACCGATCCTGCCAACGTGACGAAGCCTCCATAAAACCCTGAACGACGGGGTTTTGGGGAGCTTCCAGGTCGGTGACGGTGCTGGAGAGGCGGCGCACCGGGAAACGGCACGGACACCCACACCCTTGCCCCATCCCTTGCCCTGGGCATGTATTCTATCCGGCTGTTGCTGAACCGTATCCTTTCTAGTAAACAGTAATAGTAAGTGAAGTGCCTCCCAGGGGTTCTGGGAGGCCCCCTGGCGAGTTAACCCTGAGAAGCGGGTCCTGGGAACCCCCAGTACACAGCTGGTGCGTCCACCAGAAGCACAGGTGACACCCTGAACTTGGAACTGGCGCACAGAGTGGGGGCCGGGCCCTCTGCCTGTGGGGTCTGTGCCAAGCCCGGGGAGTCGGGGCCAGAAGTGTCGTGAGTGGAGAAAAGGAGTTGTCCTTCGCCAGTCGAAGAAGCAGAGGTGCTCAAGGGGTGGGACCTGGCCTGGGCCCTGCCTCAGACCACCTGGTGTGATCACCATGAGCAGTACACACTATTCCAGCACCTTCCCTCCGAGGCCCGGAGAAACCTGAGAGGGCTTCAGCTGTGGGCAGACAGGTGGGCACCAATCACCGTGGACGACACCGGAAGACAGCCACTTCTCACCACCAGCCCCGTCACCGGGAAATCAGTGCCAAGCCTCATCCCTCTTCTCGACTTCCTACATAGAACATCACCAGTATTTGAGAGATCCTCCTCCATCGGGGACAGGGACAGGGATGGGGAGGTCTGAATGCAACCAACCAAAGGGGGTGGCTTCCTAGCAGCCAGTGCAAGAAGGGTCTGACTGTCCTACGGTTCTCAGAAAGCAAGCATTTTAGGGGTGCCTGGGTGGCTCAGTCGGTTAAGTATCCAACTAAGGCTCAGGTCATGATCTCATGGATCATGGGATTAAGCTCCGTATCAGGGTCCATGCTGATAGCACGGAGCCTGCTTGGGATTCTTTCTCCTCTCTCTACCCCTCCCCAACCTGTGCTCATGCTCTCTCTCAAAACCGTATAGGGGCGCCTGGGTGTCTCGGTCAGTTGAGCGTCCAGCTTTGGCTCAGGTCACGATCTCATGGTTCGTGAGTTCGAGCCTTGCGTCAGGCTCTGTGCTGACTCAGAGCTTGTTTCCTATTCTGTGTCTCCTTCTCTCCTGCCCCTCCTCTGCTCCCACTCTGTCTCTCTCTCTCTCAAAAATAAATAAACATTTAAAAATTTAAGGGGCGCCTGGGTGGCTCAGTCAGTTGAGTGGCCGACTTTGGCTTGGTCATGATCTCAAGGTTCATGGGTTCGAGCCCTGCATCAGGCTCGCTGAGGTCAGCCTGTAAGCGCAGAGCCAGCTTCAGATCCTCCGTTCCTCTCTCTCTGCCCCTCCCCTGCTTGTCACTTGTGTCCTCCCAAAAAATAAACGTTAAAAAAAAAACAAACAAATGGAGGTGTCCGGTGTTTTGATAACTGCACTCAGGGGTCCCTGCACCTCACTCGCACGTGAGGAATGCGCCTGAGACGGGAAGTAAGAGCTGCTCTGAGGCCGGGTCTGAACGCGCGCTGCCGGCAGGGCTCCAGGGGCCCGTGGCTGGGAGGAGTCAGGCCCGCCTTCGGGGCCGCCTCCCGCTGCTCCCACCCCCCCGCACTGAGGGCCCTACCTTTCTGGGGTCCTTCCTGTCCTTGGCGCGGCCGGTGTCCTTCCGAGGGCTCAGCGGGCCACCCTTGCCGCAGCGGCTGGGCTTGGTGGCCGCGGGGGCCGCGCTGCTGGGCGCCGGAGCCGCGGCCGAGGCGTCGTGCAGGAAGATGCGCTCGCTGCGCCGCCTTGTCCACAGGTCGTCGTCGCTGGCCTCAGGCCCCGCCTCGAAGCCAGGCTCCTTGGCGCCCCGTAGCCTGCGGGCCTTGCGCCCTTTCTCCGCCGCCAGCTTGGCCTTGTCGGGGCCCGCGGGGCCGGGGCCCCGGGTGCTGGGTGCGGGCGCGGCCAGGGAGGGGCCCGGCTCCCCCAGTCCCTTCTTGGGCCGCAGCAGCCCGGCAGGCGACCGCTTCCGCACCTTGACCTCACTCTCCGAGTCCGTGTACTCAAACTCCGTGCCTGGATGAGGACAAGGGCAGGGGCTGTGGACGGGGGCTCCCGGGACCCTTGCTTCCCACCCACCCAGATGCCCTGGCCACCAGCAGAAGGCCACCGTCCCACCCTTCCTCCAGGGCACCTCGCTGCCCACGGGAGGCTTCTTGTATCCAGGAGAGGAACAGGGGCCCAGAGAAGGAAGACTCACCTGCCACACACCTGTGAGTGGCAGGTCCTGCTGGCCCCGCTGCTGTCCCAAACCCCCCTTGGCTGCCCAGACTCAACTCCCTGGGAATGTGACAATCCCTGCCCGGGGCCCCCATCAGCTTCCCCACTGCCTCCTGCATGCCCGGTGGGAATCCCAGAAGCCAGGGCAGGCTGGGGAGGGCCCGAGGCCCCGCAGGGGCAGCAGGTCCACGGGAGGCATGCGGAAAGCCCGTGTGAAATCCCCAAGCCGGGTGGGGCCTCTCCTCTACTTCCTGGTGCCTCTTCTCAAGAGCTGGAAGGTCCCTGGCACCCGCTCCTCTTCTAGAGGGCAGGCCTCACCAAACTCAAAGCCCTGGGGCCCAGCTGCCTCCTGTCAGCCGAGGCTCTCCCTTCCGGCAGACACGAGGCCAGCCTTGATCCCAACTCTGGAGCCCCTGGGCTCCCTGAACACAGACCCTCTCCCCAACACCCCGCTGTGCTCTGTCCCTTCCAACCTCCAGGCCTTTGCTGCTGCTGGTCCCTCTACCTGGGGCACCATTTCTCCCCTGACCTCGACCTGGAAATCCACGGCCTCCTAGCGGAGAAGACACACTGAGCACCCGGGAAGATCCTCTGTCCACACCTCCATCACCGCAGGCACACACCCCACCGGAGGGGGCTCCCATCCATGTCTGTCTATCCGGTCCCGCCCTGTGCCCCGGAAGCAGATCCCCAGTTTTACTACCGCAGGCCTGATGACCCCTGGGAAGCCAACAGCCTGCCCACAAGGCCTCGAGGAGGCCAGGTCCCATCGCCCAACAGATGCAGCCAGGCTGGGAGGGGGCACACTCCGTGGGAGGGACCCACTTGCAAAGCTTAATGATCCCATTAATTAAGCTTTTGTTAACGGACTTCCCACCGCACAGGGAGGCAGCTGGGGGCTCTCATGGCTGATGATCAGGGTGCAGGCCATAAAAGGCTGGGGTTCTGCTGCCGGGTTGACCCACCTGATGACAGCCCCCTGCAGAAAGCCGGAAGGGAACCCCCAGGCAGCGAAACGGCTACAGGTGAGCCGCATAGGGAGCAGGGCCAGAAAATGGACAGAGCAGCGACGGGCAGCGGACACTTTCAAGTGTGGAGTAAGGTCGGCCGGGGGGACAAATACTTATGAGGCCAGTGGAGCAGCATGAATGGTGCCTGGGACACAGGAAACGGGCTCTGTGAGGGGACAGGCCTGTCCTCGAGTGGGGACACGCAGGAAGCCCAGAGAAAGGGGAGGACGTGCCGAGCCCTCACCGCCCACAGGGCCGCCGCAGGGAGCAGAGTCCGTGTCTGTGATGCCCACCCAGTGTCCTGTGCTCCTGCCTCCGCCCCCAAGAAATACGGTAACAAAGGAGGAACAGACAACAAAAAGCACAAAAAATATAAAACATAAGGGTGAGACCCAAAGAGATTGCAAGTCAAAGGATGGAAAAGATAACCCATCCAAACACTAACCAAAAAGAGCTGAATAAGCATAAATATAAACATCAGACAAAACTGACCTTCCTTAAGACAAAACTTGTTACTAGAGGCAAAGGATATTATTTACATAATAAATGGTCAACTCACTGGGAAGATATAACAATTCACAAACATACATGAGCATAATCCAGAAATAGGTACAGAAGATTATACGCTATGACCAAGGGGGATTTATTCCAGGAAGACAAGGTTGGTTCGACGTGTAAGAAAATTAACGTGAGGGTGCCTGGGTGGCTCAGTCAGTTGAGCGTTTGACGCTTGGTTACGGCTCACGTCATGCTCTCACGGTTCACAGGTTCAAGCCCCATGACCAGCTCTGTGCTGACAGTGTGAAGCCTGCTTGGGAATCTGTCTCTCCCTCTATCTCTCTGTCCCCTCCCCTGCTCACTCACCCTCTCGCTCTCTCAAAAATAAATAAATATTTTTTAAAAATCAGTGTAACAGGGGCGCCTGGGTGGCTCAGTCGGTTAAGCGGCCGACTTCAGCTCAGGTCACGATCTCGCGGTCCGTGAGTTCGAGCCCCGCGTCGGGCTCTGGGCTGACGGCTCAGAGCCTGGAGCCTGCTTCCGATTCTGTGTCTCCCTCTCTCTCTGCCCCTCCCCCGTTCATGCTCTGTCTCTGTCTCAAAAATAAATAAAACGTTAAAAAAAAAAATGAAAAAAAAAATAATAAAAAATAAATAAAAAAATAAAAAAATAAATCAGTGAAATATACTGTGATAAAGGACAAAAACCACAGGAATACCTCCATAGACGCAGAAGAAGTAACTGACCAAACCTAACAACCTTTCGTGATAAAATCACTCAAACTGGGAAAAGAAGGAAATTCCTTCCACCTGACAGAGACAGCCATAAAAAAGCCACCAGTAACATCATACCTAATGGTGGCAGAGTGAATATTATCAACCCCTATGATCAGAAGACAAAGATACCTGTTCTTGCCACTTCCGTTCAACTTTGTACAGAATATTGTAGCCAAGGCAATTAGGCTACAAAAAGAAAGAAAAGGTATACCCATCCGCCGCTCTATCTGCAGATGACATGATCCTGTACTATAGAAAACACTAAGGAATCTACTAAAAACCTATTAGGACGAACAAATGAGTTCAGCGAGGTCACAGGATACAAAATCAATATACAAAAACCACTGGCATTTCTATACACTGGCAGTGAACACTCCAAAAATGAAAAGAATCCATTTACAATAGCATCAGAAAAACACATACTTAAAACTAAGTTTAACAAAAGGAGTCCTAGAGTTGTACAGTGAAAATTATGAAATGTTGTTGACAAAAATTAAAGACACAAATAAGTGGAAAGACATCCCATGTTCCTGGATTAAAACACTTCCATTGTCAAGATGCCAACACTCCCCGATTTAGCACCATTCCTAACCAGAATCCCAGGTGGCTTTTTTGCAGCAATTCACAAGCTAATCCCAAAATCCCTATGGAATGCAAAGGACTCTGAGGCACCAAGGCAATCCTGAAAAAGGAGAACAAATATGGAGGGCTCCTACTTCCCAATTTCAAAGCTTCCTACAATAATTCCTCCAGTAATCAAGACAGGATGCTACTGGGCTAAGAACAGACATAGAGATCAATGGACTAGAACTGAGGGTCCAGAAATAATCCTTCATATTTAGTTTCCGCTGATTTTTCACAAGGGCACCAAGAGTGTTCAGTGGGAAAAGAACGGACTTCTCAACACATAGGATACTGGGCCAAATGGATCTTCACATGCAAAGGCCCCTCCATCACTCCATACACAAAAAATCAACTCAAAATGGATCACAGACCTAAATATAAGTCACAAACCATAAAACTCTTCAGTGAAAACAGGACTAAATCTCTGTGACCTTGGGTTAGGCAATACTTGTTTGCATAAACGCCCGAAGTGCAAGTGATCTCTCTGGACTTCGTGCCAATTGGAAACCGTTATTTCAAACAACCCAAGAGAATAAACAGACAACTTACAGAATGGGAGAAAACACTTGCGAAGCACAGTCAGAGTTACAGCCAGAATGTGCAAAGAGCTCGTAACAACAAAATGACAACCCAATTAAGAAACAGGGATTTAGGGGCGCCTGGGTGGCGCAGTTGGTTAAGCGTCCGACTTCAGCCAGGTCACGATCTCGCGGTCCGTGAGTTCGAGCCCCGCGTCGGGCTCTGCGCTGATGGCTCGGAGCCTGGAGCCTGTTTCCGATTCTGTGTCTCCCTCCCTCTCTGCCCCTCCCCCGTTCATGCTCTGTCTCCCTCTGTCCCCAAAATAAATAAACGTTGAAAAAAAAAATTAAAAAAAAAAAAAAAAAAAAGAAACAGGGATTTAAATGGGCACCTCTCCAGACATACGGACGGCTGAGCAACATGAAAGGCTGCTCACCGTCATCGGGAGAAATGCCTATCAAAACCACAAAACAACGTAACGACAAGAAGGGGGATGTGAAGAAACTGGAATTCTCACAGGCTGTTGGTGGGAATATAAAATGGTGAGACCACTTTCGAAAACGGTTTGGCACGTCCTCAAAAGGTTAAACGTTAAGTTACCAAATAACCCAGTGATTTTACCCTTAGATTTGTAGCCAGAACAGGGGCGCCTGGGTGGCTCAGTCGGTTAAGCGTCCGACTTCAGCTCGGGTCATGATCTCACGGTGTGTGAGTTCGAGCCCCAGGGCGGGCCCTGTGCTGACAGCTCGGAGCCTGGAGCCTGCTTCGGGTTCTGTGTCCCCTCTCTCTCTGACCCTCCCTCTCCCCCCGCCTCTCAAAAATGAATAAACATTGAAAAAAAAATGTAGCCAGAACTGAAAACATGTCCACACAAAAACGTGTACATAAGTATTCAGAGCTGCATTATTCACGATAGCCCCCAAACAGAAACAAAAACAAAAGAGTAGATAAACAAAATGTGGTATACTCATAAAAAGGGAGTATTATATAGACGTAAAAAGGTTTGAAGTCACATAAGAAGAAACAGGTCTTTATGAAGGGTCTTTATCTATTAAAGGAGTTGAATCAACAATTAATGACCTTCTAAAACAGAAAATGCCAAGCCCGAATGTGGTCACTGTTGAATTCAACGAAACTTTTAAGGAAGAAATTATACCAATTCTCTACCATCTCTTCCAGAGGACAGAGGCAGAAGGAATACTTCCTAACTCATTCTACAAGGCCAGAATTATCCTAATAGCAAAGCCAGACAAAGAAAACTACACATCAATATCTCCCATAAACATAAATGAGAAATAGCAACAAAATATTAGCAAATCAAATCCAGCAATGTATGAAAAAAATTATCCGCCACAATCAAGTGAGATTT